TATTCTCTCTTAAACAAAATTCGAAAATCGATGAGAAATTTTATTATATCAGTTGTCATTTGTTATTTTTAGACACTGTATGAATTACGATAACCGATGATTTATAAAATATAATTTTTCTCATAATCTCAGCCTCATTAATTTATTTTCGATCTTATTTTATCATTATATATTTGATATTCTACAAATTTAGATTAAAAAATCTCAATAATTAATTTAATGATTTTTACCTTCGTCGTTCCATGGATTAAATGATCCTTTTCTATTAATGGCACTACTAAACAAATGTTCGAAGCTCCTTCAATTAAACTTGGTTGAATCTAAAACTCAATACTTTTGTGTGTGTGTCAATTTTCTATTCTTCTGGACTCTTCTTGTTGCAGATCTGGTGACGATTTATGTTGGTTTGGGGTTCCAATGGGGGATGAGGTCAAGTATGGTGGCCATGGTTATGGGGGTTCATTACTGTAGGGACTGGTTCGAAATTATAACTGATACAGTGCAGCTATTATTTTTAAAATTTTCAAGAATATAAGGACTTCCCTAAAAAAGGAGTAGCGAATAACTGTATGAAAGGTGTCCGACAAGTAGCAGTAACGTGAGGTCGACGGCAGCGGATCTTATCCGAGGTTGTGGTCCACGCGATGGAGAGACACAAGGTGTGGCCCCGCACGCGTGAAGAGTCTCGTTAGCTTTACAACGTGCTCCTTAGCAGCCCCCAGGTGTACCATGTCAGAAATTTCAATACAAAACAAACTTATCTTTACACTATTACAAATTGTTGAAACATGCAAAATATTCCGACCATCCACATACTGTACAATAGACTCCATTAAGAGGTTTAACAGTAATCAAGATTTGATTGTAGAATATACAAAGTTTAGATAACTTAATAATACAATTAAAAAGAAATTGAAAATTAAATAATATAACAGTCAACAGACATGGTAAAAATATAAATAATGTCATCTACACTATGATCAGGGAGGAGTGGATGGACTATTCATTCACCCTCTAAAAGTAAAAAAAAATATTTTAAATATTTTTAATTAAAAATTTATTTTCATACTATTTAAAATTTTACAAGTTTATTATCTCTTAAAGTTTTTTTTAAATTTACTTATTAAAATAAAATTATGTGTCTGTCTCTAATTATGGTACAAACTAGCTTTGTAGTACAGTGGTTTACACGTATAATTAAGAATATTGTGAGTAGAATTAAAGTTAAAATATGTCTTGGTATGGGACCATTTGGTGTATGTAAATAAGCATGGGGGAGATCGTGGAAGTGGGGAACAAACACCACTAGAAATAGTACGCGTGTTGGCATCTTTCGGAGTGTCAGATTTGGGCTCTCACTCTGTCTTTGTGCTGCGTCAACCGTAGCACACTTCTCTCATACACCCAAATCCTTTATTTCTCTTTCACAACTTTGTAAGATTTTGAGGATGGAAATATTATGTAATATTTTTTAAAAAAAATTAAGACATAACAAGTAAAAAATAGATTAAAACATAGTCATTTTTTTTGTGTATTCTTGATAAAATATAATACTTAATCTTATTTAATTTGATTGAATATTAATTTCATTAACATTAACATTATTATAATACTTTAAAATATCATATATTTATTTTATATAAATTATTTTTTATTATTCATATATTTATTTTATATAAATTATTTTTTATTATTCATGAATAATTTTAATACTATATATGTTCATAATATTTCTTAATCATTGATAATATATTGACTCTGCACTGAATCTATTATATTTTCTCCATCTAATATATTTATCGCAACATGAGTATTACCCGAATTAATATAAAAGAACTATTATTAATTTTTTAATCTTCCACCAACTATGCAATTTAGATACTATAAGTTTGAACATGCATAAATTCAAAATCATATCTCATACAATTTGCATACCTTCGTATAAATCCACAATTCAGTTCGTAGAACATGGATGATTCATACACTTTTATGAATTTCATAAATTAATTATATTATGATAGTTTTATGTAAGGCATACTTTGATTTTCAAAGACGATAGATAAATATTAACGGATAAATTGTCTTTATTATAAGCCTATAAAAATCATATATGATATTAACATTTTTAATAATTCGAATTTTACATTGTCTAATTATTTTTAAAACGTTAGAAATTAGTTTGTAATAATAATAATTAGATACTAACTTTTTAATTATAAAATTTCAACATATTAAATTTAAATATTCAAAATTATAGGGGGAAACGAGATATAAGTGAGAAATTACGGTTCCCATAATGGGATTTAGATTGGATTCATATGATTCTTCCATGTGATACAATTAACAAACAAATAGACAAGAACAAGCGTGTAATCTAGGTTTGTATGGTAGATTTATGTCCATTGCTTCAGTCATAATATAATAAAGTTTTCATAAACTTTGCAAAGAAGCGAAGCACGCGACGCCAAGCACGAGTAAACATGGGAAAAGGGGATTGAAAGCAAATAAAAGGTCTAATTATGACTTTAATCCCTTTCTTATTATCAAATTTCAGAATAGTAAACTGATAATTTCATTAATTGCTGCTGTCAAAATGATGAAATTGTTAATTTTCTATTGTTATTTGGTGACGTGATCATGATGGCATGGAAATCTGATCAATTACGTTCGATCAACTGTTTTAAAAAATCACATTATCACTTCAAATGTACGAATAAGAATGTTATCAATTTATAATCTTAGACCTACGGGTAACATTATGAAGTAAAGGGATAAATTCTATTAAATTAAAGTAAAAAGATCAATTTGCAAATGCTAGCATAGTATAAGGACTTACGTCAGAATTAGACCCAAAAGTAATAACAAAACGACAGTCGAGACCTAAGCGTGGGCCGACAGCGCATTGGTGGGCCCACTTAACGGCGCGGAAATAGAGGATTTGGCCCACACATTGCCCATTTCCGACATGATTTGCTTTGATACCTCCAATTATCCATCTTTCTTTCTTTTTTCTTAAACAAATTATATATTTTTATTTTGATTAAAAAAAGGAGAATAATCCGCGTTGGCACTTTAAGAGAAAAATATATATATGAATAAATTATCAAGCTAGCGGGCCCACCTGTGAGTGCTTAGTGATGTTGATTAATTAGCTAATCGGGTCATTAGTAAGTGCTTATATGTTAAAAAATATGAAATTAGTAATATGTTTGGGCCGTATAGCCCACGAAAGTCTAGAGGACAATCCAAGGACAATTAGTGAGTTTACAATTGGGGTCACCAACTCACCATATTTTAAAAAGTCACTCAACAATGAGTAAGTGTACATTTTAGCCACTCAATTTTTGGTCGAGTAAATTCTTTTAGATTTTTTACAGGTTGATATAAGATTAATTCTTCATTGACGATATTTTTTTTGAAAAAAAGTTATTTGATGCTTTTATACTTCATGAATTTTTACTTTACTTATTGTATTATTATATGCCCTCACTGAATGCCTTTTCATGATTATTGTTATCACTTACAAATTCATTAAATTACATCTCAAATTAATTTAGAATCTGACATTAGTACGGATAAAAAATGTAACATATACTTCTAAGTGTATGAACTGGTGTAGCTAAAAGGTGAAACTATCATTGCAACTTTAAAATCAATAGATAAATGATAATATAACAATTCAAGTAGAAAATGTACTTATGATCTTTCTTTATAGAGTAATGAAGTATAAAAGCATTGAAGATTTTTTTTGTTCAATAAGAACACAAAGACAACGATAAGTAGATCTTGCACTAATCTCTAAGAAATTAGAAAAGAAAATCCGAAAAAGTTGGCTCACAACCTAAAGTTGAATGATGAAAGCATAATAAAAAATTAACATCTTTTTTAGTTTTAACGACACATTGACATGATTGTTCCCATCGATAAATTGAGTGACTTTATTGTGTCTTTTTGAAATACGGTGACCTAATAGTAAACATACAAATGATAGAGTGACTTGTGGGCGTAATTTACCCTTTTGTTTGTTATGAGACTCTTGTCAGAAATAGCTGCATAACACGTGACCCACAGGAACTTGGCATCAGCAGATAAACAGGATCCATGCAACACCAAAGAAACAATTTGAGGCTTCGGGAAAAGCACAAATCAAACTGCCACAGGTCAATGAACAAATACCATAAATGATGCACACAACAACAACTATAGAATAGATGTTCAATCTCTTCAACTATAAAATAGCTGCACACGAACACTTTGTTCTCGGAGCTGGCAATAGTACAACATAAGGATGTGGCTTGTAATGACATGCTATAATCTTTCCGGCTGCTATCTCTATGGATTTCGAGCCGAGAGATGATCATTTTGTCGTAATTTACTCGAATAAAGATATTGAATCTCAAGAATCTGCATGAACCGAACAATCTTTCGTCGATGATTTCGAGTCAAGGAATGATCATTTTATCATAATTTACTCGAACAATAATGTTCAGTCTCAAGAACCTGCAGGAACCGGAGAACCTCAGCAAAAAGATGCTCGTGTATCTGCCAAAATTGAGAAATCATTTGAGCTTTCATGGAAGAATATTATATGATGATAATAAGTTGAATAAAGTACCGAGCTTTCAAATATTTCAACCGAGTGCTCCTTCCATTAAATAAATTTCTGGTTTTTAACTATAGAGAATAGATTTCAAATTTGAGTATAACAGAGGGACGAAAACCGTATTTTTGACCTTTCGTCCCCCCCCCCCTTAAAGCATATTGAACCATTTATCCACAATAACTTGTCTTACCCTCAACCGAACATTTTCAACCATCGCATGCGTTTAACTTGCTCCGTAATCAACCTTTAGAAGCACAATATGCGATGGTCGGTATTCTTCTCTTGTTCCTCAATTTCCCCCAAAGAATCTCACCCAAGAGCAATCTCTTAAAACACCACATCTTTGCCTTCATTCCTTTAATAATCCAATCATAGACCCCGTTTCTTCTACTTCTTCTTTATCAACAACCCTACGACCCCACATGCCACATACCCGTTTCGAACCGACACAACCCGTCGTCGAACGGATAGCTCGAGCGCTCCATCACCCGCTCTTCCTCCTCCATAGATCCGATTCCATCTTCTTCATCTTAGGTGCCACGGGTAATGTTTATACTGTGATGTTGTCTTCGACCCCTACGTGCACGTGTCCCGACCGTACAACCTCATGCAAACACATACTGTTTGTTTTGATCCGGGCTTTAGGCGTCTCAGTCGACGACACATGTCTCCGGAGGCGGACTCTCCAGCCATGTCAGTTGAGTTGCCTTCTCGGGACGCCCATGTCGCCCGAGGCATTAGCAGAGGTCAGTCTACGTGAGAGGTTCCACCAGCTTTTCTCCAAAAGGAAGAAGCATGGTGGGTCGGGGGATGTTAAGGAGAACGAAGAAGGAACTATGTGTTTCGTTTGCTTGGAGGAAATGGAGAAAGGAGACAAAGTGGCGACTTGTTCCACGTGTTGGAACTTGATTCATGAAGAATGTTTGATGAGGTGGAAGAGGAGCCGTGGGAGAAGGTCGGCTAATTGCGTGATTTGCCGTGCAAGGTGAAGTAGTGATCAAGAAAAGTATTTGAATTTAGCTGCTTATATTGGCCGGGACCTGAGTGAGGGCGGCGGTGACAATGATGGTAGCGGCCTTTGTGGTGGATGATTTATTTTACGTTCTTAGTTTTAGGATTGAAATTTTTTTGATTATGAACTATATATGTTTTTAAACTATAAATTGTGTATATTCAATAATCTTATAAATAATTGATGGATAATTCATTCGACATTAGAGTCGTGTGCTAAGTTGTAAAAAAAAAAAAACAAAAGAGCAGTGTGCTAATTGTTTTAAAATAAACAAAACTTTGGCTAAAAGTTTTATATGGTAGTAAAATTAGAAATATGATCCAAATAGTATTAACCAAACGAACTTAGTAGTTAATTTTTTTTTATTATTTTTTGAATTTTTGAGTTCGAACATTACGTATACATAAGCAGGAACGTTTAATATTAAATGGTAGAAAGTCTTTAAACAATAAATTGTATTGACACCAAATTAATAATTTTTTTATTAAATCATATATACGTACACTCTTAAAAAAAATAAAAATTAACAATAATATGTTTTTATAATAATAATAGCATAATTGATCTTAACACAGATTTTAATAAATGATCTGAATAAAATGTGAGATCTAAATTTTATAACATAATAATTTAGATAAATATAAAATATATCTTAACCGATGCTACCGGTTAACACCTAGGGATGGGCATGGGGCTCGAAGTCGATAAATTCCGACTCAATCCTATTTTATTTGGGCGGATTTTTTAAAACCAATTTAGGTTCGGGTCGAGTCGGTTCGAATTTTCTAGAGGTTGTGTTCGGGTCAGATCAAATTCGAGTTTAGGTAAAAAATATTTGACCCAACTCGACCCAGAAAAATAATTCCACCTTATATATTTATAGTAATTGTAATAATACCCCTCTATATTTGTTTTTCAATTAAATCCATATTTTTATTGAATAAAAATAATATTTTATAAATATATTATTTCAAGTTGAATCGGGTTGAGTCTTATCTCAAAAGGCGGGTCAGATTCGAGTTAGGTGAAGGAGTATAATTTTCATGTTGAGTTTAAATAAAATGGAGGGTGTATAATTTTTGAGTCGAATCAAATTGACCGAAAATTCAACCTAACCCGACCCATATTCATCCCTATTAAGACCTCTATTTAAGGAGAATGTTCCAAGAATCCATTTTATATACTTTTTATATTATATCATATTTATTTATATTTTTGATAACATGTATATCTAACGTATTTATGGCACGATTTTGTTTACTTTTATAGCACGGTTTTTTTTGCCTTTTTATACATTTCTAGTCTTTTTTTTTTATAATTCGTTTGACTATTTTTTTGTTTAATTTTCTTTAGGATTAAATCTGACATCATCTCAACTAATCAAGATGACACTTCATTTGTTATCTTGTTGATCTGTTTGGACCCTCGAATAAATTTGGATATGTGATTTGTGTTCGGAGATAATTTTCTCATGACACTGGGCTCTGATTCGCGATGGTCAATGATTTTTCAGTAACTTGATCTACTATTATAGTTTGTTTGTTGATCGAGTCAAATCTATTATTTTTAGATATATTTTTAATATTTTTTTTATATAATCGTAAACTATCATTATAATTATAATTTTTTCTTTTCTAATAAGGCTAACGTCTACTATTTGCATAATAAAAAATGTGTTAATTAGGAATGACAATTTAGGGGTTGTTTGTTTACTTCAGAATAATTAAGTGTTGAATGATTCAAATGTTGAATGATTCAGAGGCTCTGTATGAATTAAATCTTAATGTGACATGATGTTTGATAATGGCTCTGAATCATTCAGAATGTACTTCTGGGTTAAATCGTTCAACACTAGATATTCAAAAGTATGAAACAAACGCGTTGAATATTAAACGATTTAACATTTAACGCTAAATAGATAAACAAATATCCCTTATTCTTTTGAGTTTTGTTTTTGCCTAATAACCAAACACAAGCCAAATTAATACTCAACAATTCAACATTTGCAAACCCCATCCAAGACCCTAAACGCTTCGAGATTCATACTCACTAACTGATTTATTGGCAAAAAGAAATGCCCGGTGCCTCGTCAGATTACGGTGGCGGCGCTCTAGTTCCGATTTCACCGGAGTCCCAGGTTGCGGCGGTGTATCCTCTCCACCATGGCCTCAAGTATCCTATCTCCAGACTCTCCATCTCGTGGTCTCGCGGCAACGCCCTCCGCGTCTCGGTTTTCGCTTCTCCTCCATCCGGAGACTCCGTCCAAGACGATGAAGGAGGAAAAGTAGTGGAAGTGAAGCTCGGAGGCGGAGACTGCGAGATCAGCGACGCTCATTGGCGGAGGATCGCCTACGATTCGATCTCTCCTTTCGCTCTACTCCAAAGCAGGAAAAACGCCGTCTCTAGCATGTCGAAAATGTCCATGAATTCTTCACCTTACGATGCTGACTGGTAATTGATTTTCGAATTTTATATCAAATGTATTTGTAATTTATTTTCTTTTGTTCTGAAAATTACTGAAATTTGTTGTGTTTAGGTGGGATTACATAATGGAGTACAGCAAAGACATAAATGCCCTTCTTGGTAGTCAGAAATCTGCTTCAGTTCCGGCTATCGACGACCCAAAGTCAGTCATAACGGTAATTTCCTCTTCTTTTCTCCTTTTTTTTTTTGCGGAAATCTTGGCTTTGAATAGAAAGCAACGAAAATGGAAAATGTGTTAATTTAATGGCTAAGCTAGAAAGTTTTAGTCTAATGGTAATTTCGTTTGATTTCAAGTTGCTTTTTTTCCTCTCTCAGAAAGTAGAGGAACCGATTTGTTTAAAGGCTGCGTGGGAGCTATTGGAAATGTTTTATGTAGAAAATCCATCTCATTCATGGATACCTGAACGCCTTGTTGATTGGTTAGCTGTAAATCTCCTATCTTTTTTCTGTTACTACATCCATAAAGTTTTACATTACTTTGGTTTAAAAGTTGTTTGTTACTAATAAGCAATTTGTGTCTTGGCAGGATTATGATAGCCTTTTCTCGGGAACACACCCCACAGTGCACTCAAAGCTTGTTGATTTTCAAAAAGACCTTGTAAACTTGCAGGTCCTGAATAGTTAACCTTCTAGTTTTCCTTATTAACTTCTTTATATGGTACTTAAGCACTTCTAGAATCTAGGCTTGTGAGTTGTTTGACTGATTTGTACTCTTCTGTATTCGTATTAGATGATGTTATTTAATCAGTTCATTCAATGTAGGTTGTGGAGGATAATCCCAAATACTGGGAAGTTATGCAATCAGCACTTGCTGTTGGCTGGCTGGATATTGTGGTATGTTTTTGATTATCTAATGTGAGTTTATAGTTTAAAATTATGAAATCTTGATAGGTTATTTTTCTTGTTTGGTGGAATTATATGATAGGATACATTTTTCTATTTTCACGTTCAGGTTAAGATGCTGCGCTTGCATGGATCTTATCGATTGGATCAACTCAGCAATCGTGAGGTTGGTACGAGATAGATTGTTATTCATTGCATCTGAAAAATGTAGCTCTCTCTATTTACCTGTAGTGTCGTTGAACCATTATATTGTAGTTAAGAGGTTTAAGTCTTTGTTCAGTTATTTGAACAAAATGTGTTGTAACTTGTAAGCAATTTCTGTTATGCGAGTTCTGTTCTTGCTGGTCTGAACTAAAGTATTTCCATATCTTCTTTGCATTTTAATGTGTCAAGGTTATCTTCCACTCACTTTCCTTATGGTGTTTTGTCCATGTGAAGTAAGATCAGGATATTGTTGCTATAAGAAATTGAAAATATATATTTGATGCCTCTTTTTCCTATACATCAACAGACAGAGAATGGTCTTGTAGAGGCAATTGCTGTTCTCATTTCAAAAATGCCACGTATGCGTTTGGATCAAGAAGCTGGGAAATTGGGTGAATGCTTTAAGGCCAAGCCTGATTTTTTGAAGGTATCTTAAATTCTTACAGTGGTGGTGTTCTCTCATTCTGCTTCACAATCCGCTACGTCCAAAGATAAGTAATTCAAGTCTTTCTCTAGCATAGGCATGGGAGAAATGGCGTGGACAGATAAATAAACTGGATTCAAGTGCATTCTGGTTTCAGTGTGCTCACCAGAAGACTCGGGAGGGCTTGAGAAGTATGTTACAAATAATGCTGGGTAATGCTAATAGTCTCTGCTCTGCAACATGCCATTGGATAGAGCTGTATATTTCTCACTTGCTATACATCCGGCCATTCACAGTGGTATGTACCTTCAATGTATTATGTATCTCGTAGCATTTAACATGTTAGCTGGATGCTCAAATACTCACTTGATTTCTTTTCTTCTGTTAGGGATTAGAAAGCATGTACAGCTTGGCACAGAAAAGCATTCAATTGAAACCAATGGCCTCTGCACATAGGTTGATGAGGCTTATAATAGGAATTCTTGGGGAAAATACTGAGGTGACACTTGGAGATAGAATATTAAAAAATTCTCTTTTTGGTTCCTCATCCATAAGTTAAATTATGTTTTTGTTAATTCTCAGGTTGTTTTAGCAGAATGCATGAAAGGATTTGGTCCTTGGTGAGCTGTTATATTTCCATCTTTATATTTTTCTGTTTGTTGTATTGCAGTTTTGGAGCCTTTTTTGGGGTGTTATTGTTTCAAAATTTGTTTGGTCTGGTAAACTATGAGAAGTTATCATGAAATTAAAGATTGCATTTTCCTTCGCAGTCATTAAGATTTATCTCTATGTTTTGCTTATCGTCAGGATGGTTGCACATGCCATGGAGTTATTAACCGCTGGGAGTGACCATGCAGAAATGCTTTTACATGAAGAGCGTCAGAACTTGGGTGGAATAAGCATAGAGGAGCTTCATCGACTCGTTTATGCTCAAGTCCTATCCTCACATCCATTAACTTGGCAAGTGAGTGCAAATAATTGTGTGGATTACTTCATTGGCATATGATATGTTTTCTACTTTGTATACAGCTTAGGCTTACCTTTCTAAGCTAGAAATAAAATATGGAGTACAACTTAACCAAGTTCTTTGGATATAATTCGTAGCAATGAGTAAACTAATACTATTTCCCATTATTGTTATTATAGTGGATAATTTTTTTTAATTGGAATGCTAGCACTTTGATTAAATATTTCTTTTATTTTTTCCCCTTTAACATCTACAGATTGCTCCAGTTTATCTTATATCATGCATGAAGCATGGGATGGTTCTGTTACAGATATTATTGTCCAAGCATCCTGTTCAAAATAATCAGTTATTGCTGAAGGTCATTGGTTCCTTTTTCTTATGCTTCTTATCTTTGCTATTATCAAATTGTTTTCCTCTATTGTTTTGGATTTTAGGGCCTTATCAATTAGTTTATTGTTGATGCAATTTTGTGTTATACACAGAGCATAGAGATATGCCGTCTTTACGAACTCCACAGCATAACTTCAAATACTATGAAGGTATAAGCATCTGAAAAGAAATCATTTAATTTTGGTGGTGGAAAACACATATAGCCTGGCCTTTGTTTTAGTAATTCTGTTTCCCAACCTGTTGAGAAATTTTGTGGTAAAAAATTATGATTGAATTTGATGTCATGACAATTAAGGTTTCTCACTGTCAATCTTTAGATTGCTGGAGTACACCACTGGAAGCATGGTCGGAAAGGTTGTGGAGTGTTTTGGCTTCAGCAAGCTCGGGATGAATATCGTCTTAATAGGATAGCTCAGCAATTGTTTGATTCAGTTGGAAAATCAATATCTGATGAGAGTTTCAAGGTAGATTGTACAGATAACCTCCAAGGCACAAAGCTGTTTCCTATCTCTTCTCCTCGCATTTTTTACTATTCATTTCAAGATAATCTTTCATATCCCGAAAGTGTTTAGTTTATGGGATATGACTGAATCCATCCTCTATCTTCACAGCAATGGGAAGGGTTAATTCAGTTATTGGGTTCGGATTCTAAGACTGCTGGTGGACTAGAGTTCCTGCACAAGTAAGAATTTTCCTCTTTGCTCGCTGTTGAATTATTCCACACATTAGAAAGCATACGGTGTTAGTTAACCTTGGACACATCACAGATATAGAGACTTCAAGAAATCACTTCAGCATGTTTATGATGGGAAAACTACAGATGCTGCTCGGCAGGCTGTGGAATCTCTTATATCGGTACATATTTGTCACCTATTGATCTTTTACTTTAATCATCATAAATATTATAACAAGAGCAAGATTGTTTTTACTACAGCTTATGAAGAACCCGTCTACACCTCAACGCTTTTACCTGCCTCTTCTTTATGATTCGGTAGGAGAATGACGTTCACGGATTTCTTTAGATCTATCCTATTACAGATTGTTTGAATTTTCATTACATCCAGTGTATGCGTTGCTTGACTGATGGCCGTCCATCGATTTTTCTTTTTTTGCAGTTGAAGCTGCTTAATTGGAAGGATCGTCCTTTGTTGAACGTGTCTCAGACAAATCTTCTATTAACTAAACTACAAGATTTGTCCATAGCAAGGCTTCGACCGGATTTCATGGAATCCGAGTTACCACCCCAGGCCTTGAACTCTGTTAGACTTGCACTTGCGATGAATCTGGGACGTGCAATCCTAGAGGAATGAGCCCTTTCATGTATGTAATCTTTGTCTGAAGAATATCCATTAAAATCCATCTCAATAGATTATCAAGTTTGAGATTATCACAAGCAAACCCAACTTGGCGTATCCAGAAAAGATAAAACCACAATTATTATCATATTAACCCGTAACACCGACTTAATGAATGGTTTCGATAGCCATCATTGAGATATTTTTGTTTATGTATAATTCTGTTACAGTTTCTGTAATCTGACTTTGATTTCTGGTAAATCAGAATTTTTTGTATCGACTGCTACGTAATTGAACTGTTTAATCGCTAATCAGTGTTTAATATTGCGTTCTTTATTGGCGGGTTAGTGATGTTTTGGTTGGTTTGAGGTGGATGATGATGCCATGGATGAAGATCACTTGAGCTCGTCTTTAATGCATAAACGGGTTTTTTATATTCAGAACACGTTAACGAGGTTATAAACACATGTATGCCTATTAGGCTATTACGTGCAAAGCTTTATATAAATTTGAAAAACAAGCAAAAGTTGCTGAAAACACATATTTTGCTTCTTTTTATATTTTCCATCAAAGTAAATACACTGAATTTCCTAGACATGGTTACGAACCAATTATTCACACTGCTTTGAGGAGACGAGTCATGTCACGCTGCAAGATCATTATTAAGAATTGTTCTCTTTTTACACTCGATTCCCTACAAGATTTTGTACCTTTAAAATTTTAATTTTGATTTCATACCATAATACACATTTACAAGGACACGATTTATGGAACAGATATCGATAAATATATACACACATGGTACTAATGAACGGCATGGACTTTTATTTCTTGGGTACCCAACATCCATGCAACCCATAAGGTAGACCGTAAGGAAGTTTTGCTCTTGCAATTTCTTGGAATGTTGAACCGTCCAACACTAGAGCATATCCGCCTCCATTCTTCTCACTGATTAGGGATATTACAACACCTGCATCGTTTTGTTTATTTATTTCCTTTTTGTTTTAAATCAAACGAAATTTGAATGGCAAATAATATGGTGGTTAAATTTGCTCACCGTCATCTTCCTCGGTTGCACCTGGTCGAGCCACAAAGAATGGCTCCGATGGCACTGCCCCCTCATCGTGCCAATTCTTTGCCCGTTTCTTCGCAAAATCCAGCTGCAGTTGCACAAACAAACAAACAGTGTTAATTCTGACCCAAAGAAATAAAAAAAATCCGAACTAATCAATTTAAACATAAATTTAATTGAATCCCATTTATCATAAAAAAGTTAATAATTCAGTTTACAAAATTCTTAATGATACGATCGAGTCTCAAATTTAAATAATCATTAAAACTTAAAATGATTCAAATTTAAACAATCTTAACCTGAAATGACTGAAAGCTTAAATTTGTAAGTATGATGGAATGAGTGATGATCGACGATAAGAAGTTAAATTACCTTGGTTAGGGTATTGGGGAAGTGACATGGGCGTTGGGCTCCACAAGCATAAGCATATCTGTATTTTTTACCTAGAAAAGCAGGGTTGATGCTGCACATGTCCATGCCTCTTCCATGTTCATCAGGGTTCAATGCTGCCTCCAACGTCCCATAAGGACTCCCATCCAATGGAATTTTGAATCTTCCAACCCTATCCATATTTTTTAAGTTAATTTCAACCCTTTTGTATACCTTTAAGGATGTGATGTTTATGTTGGCCTACATCTTTTGACCTAATATAAGATACGTAGGAACATGCATGCAACATTGATAGCTTTATGTCCAATGCTCATTTTCACTTGTATTATATACCATAGTGTTAGAGCATATATGTTATTTGGTACCTTGCATCTGGTAGTATGTCCTCCCCGTTGAAAGACCGTAGATTTTGAAGCCTTAGATTATCCAAAATCGTGGTGTCGGCGTTGTGTTCGCAACAATCAGCAACGATCGATGTCAGTCTCCCATCTTCGTCTTTCTCTTCGTATGCATTGATGAAATGAAATGTCACAAATAATGGTACTTCGACACTCGCCACCTGAAAATTTTCCCGCATTTTTTGTTATTAAACCACACGAAATAAGGCTAATTAGAAAGAAAATACAGAGATAAAAAAGGGAACTTACTAATTTTCCACTAGCTTTACACATAACATGAAGAAAGGCTTTAGATTGAGGATGCCACTCGAATTTGTACAAAGGAGTAGGTTCAGCCCGGAGCAAATTTTGTGCACAATACCTCAATGGCATTTCAGGCACTACCACATAATGCTCAGTCACCGGAAATGAATGTACCCAACCTGTAAAGATGAGTAAAATTCGATTAATTAAAACTTAAAATAGAATTAATCGATTGAACCGAATCAACACGCCCTAATTACTAACCTGGAGCCGGTCCGCCCCTGCAGGTGACCCTTCCGATCACCTTCCGTTCATTAGTCCCCGGCTCCATCCGAACCGCCATGTAACCAGGGTTCACCAAATCAGGCAACAAAGTCAAGAACTCCGCATCAGTCACTATAGGATGAGCCGAGTGTATCAACCCTCCAAGGCTATCACTGTATTCGAACCTCCCGAGTGTTTCCAAGCTCTCGGGGTCGATAACTAAGGACCCTTTTTGAGTTTCCGTCAAGCAAACTACACGGCCATCGCCGAGCTTCACGACGCCTGTGTTGGCATTATCTGTTAAAGAAGCACCAGAGAGTAGCTTTGCGAGGTCTCCTACATAGGCCATGAAGTTTTCGTATTTGGGAACTTCCGAGAATTCCCGGAAGCAAATCTTCTTGTTTTTCTTTGCAGCCTTGTAGGCTTCAGATTCGATTTGGCGGTGACCGGCGATTAACCGGCCGTTCTCGAAGTGGAGCTTAACTAACGTGGCGTAGCCGTCGAAGAGGTGACGGAAGTTATAATCTTCTATGTGCCATAAACCAGGGCCGTTTCTGAGGTACGTTCCTTTCTACATGTGACCAATATTAGGGTAAATTAATTAACGAAAATTCATGCTGTCAAGATCTTATTGCATTTAGTCTATAGTTTATAGGTGTAAAGGACGTCATCATGATGATCAGACGTTGAAGAAGTTGAGTTTGTATTTAATGTATTTATATTGAATGAATTTATGTACGGCCAAAAATCATATCAAAATTCATCAATAATATATTAATAAATAATTAAAAATATTAAAAATAAATGTAATTGTTATATTTTTAATGGTGACTCTTATAATTTAATAACATTAAACAAACTTGTATTTCATATCCATATCTATAAATAAAGTTTTTATATTATAAGTAAAAAAAAATATGTTTACACTTGTTTACTATCATTTGTAGAATATATATGAATAATGTGAATGAAAGTTAAAAATTAAATTTATCTTTCTTTTACCCATAAAAGTTTTCATTAATTTTTTTATTTTTAATCTCGACATTCAATTCACATTCGTTCAATAATTAGAAATCAATATAAAATTAAAGAATATAATTAGAAATCAATATAAAACTAAAGAATTTTATATAATGTAACCAGATCGTGTATATATATATATATATATATATATATATTTATGTACCAGCCATAGAGGTAGATCTCCTTGTACAAGCAGCTCTCCTTCCCATCGTTCTTGTCTCACACTGGTCCATGCAACATGGTTCCGATCCGGGTTGACGGTTTCTTTATCCAGAGACGGAACAACCACCGGTCTTGATGGGTTTGCTACACGGGTTATCGTTAAGCCTCGCCTTTCTGGTTTACTAGCAAAACCAAAGTTGTTGTCAAAGAAAAACCCAAGTTTTTTATGTTTTGATTGATCAAAATCCAACATAGCAAAGGCTGAAACATGGTGCCTGCAGATATCTGAAAACAATAGAGAATCCATGAGAGAGATAGCTAAAGAAGAAGGGTTATTGTGATTACTTAAAGTGGCGAAAATATCATATGGTATTTATAGGCCAGCCAGGGTGAGCAAAATTAAGGTAAGGGAGGCAAATATTCGGAATCTTGATTGGTGGAATTCCATTGCACTATAAGACATCAAAATTCAAATATAAATATTATATGTTCCATTACAATATAAGACATTATAATTCATATATATATATTTATTAGGATCCGAGATTAACTCTTTATTTTTTTCCTAGTGAATTCTTCTCATTTACTATTGTTAATCCCAACCTTTAATTTCACTCGTCCAACTATCATAAAAAGTTGTAAAATTAAAAGTTTTACACTATATATAATTGAATATATATATATATATATAGTACTATTGGGGCTAGGTCAGGCCGGATTGGACTCATGTACCAGTGGTAATAATATCATACATTGTTACTCAATTTTATCATATTTAAAATTAATTGAGTGGTCGTAGTAGTATAAGGAGATATTTTTCTTTTTAGAAGATTCAAATTCTAACAGTTGCGTCCGCAGAATGTGTTAAATATAATAGATTGAAAAAATTTCTATACAAATACTTTATTGCAACCACTCCGGACTATATTAAAAAAAATATAAATTATAAATATTAAAATGCGCTCATCTTTTTTGTACAATAATAAATTAAGTTTTTTTATAAATTTTAATATTAGATAAATTAGATTTTATTTTCTTTAAGTTTAAATATTTTTATATTTCTAAATTCAATAAATTGTTCCCTTCAAAATATTTAATTTTGATTCGTCCCTATTTTTGCAGCCATTGTTACTGTATAATTGGTGGGTTTATGGTTGATTTTTCTTAAGAAAAAGAAAGCTCTGCGCATCACTTCAAAGTACTGGCTTTTGTTTGTGGCTGGTGGAGGGGTAATAATGGTTTAGTGATGGCATTGCTAATGTTGCCAAAGTTTGATGCTTTTGGTATAGAATGCTGCCCCATTTGGTATCCCAGGTTTCGAAATCATCTGGTGCATGCCATGATTTTATAACACAAATTCAGGACTAACATTAAATATATCAAAAGAAAATTATATCTGATATTCAACACTAGCTAACTAACAACCCTATCAATGTCGTCTTCTTTCCTTGCGTGAAGCCGTTAGCCAATGTCATCATCAAGTGAAAATTTCAAATTAGTATATATTTTAGTTAAACTTTTTATATTTTTAATTGATAATATATTTTCGCTCATCCTAAAATTTTAGAAATTCATCATTTAATATAAGATCCTATGCTCATCTTTCGTTCCACAATTATATTTGAAACCGAAATTAAAATATAAATTTTAAAAATAATATAAAGAATAAATAAATAATCGATAATTTACCAAGTTAAGTTTAACATAGTGACGGACATATATCTCTTATCATTTACAAAATAATAACGATAAATAAAGAGTATAATAAATAATGATTTTTGTTGAAACTAAATTCATACTATATTTTATATTTAGTTCCGGGCAATTCATCGTTTTCTCTCTATATAAAAAGAAAAAGAAAAAAAAGCATGGGCACTCTAAGGGACTGGTTGTTTGCCTCTTAATGGAACCATTCAACGCTGAATGTTGAACGGTTCAACATTCAGCGCGTTTGTTTCGCACCTCTGAATGATTCAGTACTAACTGATTCAGCAAAACAGTATTGAATGATTTAGCACAGAAGTACATTCTGAATCATTCAGAGCCAATTATCAAACAACATGTCACATTCAGAGCCAAACCATTCAGAGCCTCTGAATCATTCAACATTTGAATTATTTAGCGCTTAATCATTCTGAAGTAAACATACAGCCCCTAAGTCTAACCATGACATCAAGACAAGTGGGAACGTCGACTAATTCATTTTATGCCTTTTTTTTTTGCATTCCAAAAGTAAGATAAGTTAAAACCCTTCCCTCTTAGGGCGTGTTTGGTTCGGGGTATGTTGGATTACCAGGGGAATGAAATGTCATTTCCTTTTGGTTGGTCATTAATCCTATTTTCCGGTAATCTTTTATTCCCAACAATGGATTTTTTGGGGTATATTACCAGGAATGTAATTACCTCTTCCCTTAGGTATTATTGGATTATTGACGTTTTGGACTAAAATGCGTTTAATTTTTTTCCCCAAAAATATCCTTATTCTGTCGCTGAATAATAAAAATTCTACGAAAAAATTATCATTAAACTATTTTATATTTACAAAAAAGTCCATAGTAAGAATTTTATATGAAGTTCAGGGGTTAAAATAAAATTTTACCCTTTCATTAAACATATTTATCTTTTCAATTTTGTAAAAAATATATAAATTTTATGAATTTAATTTTTTTAAAGAAAATATATATAATAATTATAGTAATATTATAGTAGAATTCAACTTGTTAAAAATCAAATATATAATAAGGAAAATTTGGTAAAATATACATTATAATAATATTTTATTACTTTAACCAAACACGATAATCTTACATTCTTGCTGAACGAACCAAACATAAAATACAACATTTCAGTAATCCTATCCCTCGATAATCTTTTATTCCCACTGATAATCTTACATTCCGTAAACCAAACCCACCCTTAAATAAAGATTGTTTGGATTCAAGAATACTGTAATGTTTAGAAGTATCAATGGAGTTTATTTATACAGTTTACACCGATTTATTATCTTGTCTTTGCGAAGATTTACTTAAAGAGAAGTTCATTATAATATTTTTAGTATAAAAAACATCAATCCTCGATTTAATTATACACATTCAGAGATGGATCGAGGGTATTGACTGCACCCCCAAGAAATTTTAAAACCTCTTATATTTTAAGTATTTCCTTATATTTTATATGGATTATCTAATTTTAAGTTTTATAATTCCACACTCTTAATTTTTAATATAATTTCTTAAGTTCGTATCCTCTGACATAAAATTCTTGCATCCATCCTGTAAACATTGGTAATAAATATTTCCTCATATAATATTATCCTAATAAGTATTTAATCCAAAAATCAATATTTAATTTAAAAATTATTTAAACGACGAGAGATTAAATTTTACATAAGACAAAAAATATATTGTGGGGGTGTGCGGGTGAATGAGCCCCTCTCGGGGACTTAATAGCTCTATAATATCTGTTATAAATACCTTAAATTATTAGATAACGAATGTTCAATCACCTTTGTAATTATTGGTATTCGAACTCATAACTTCTAGAAATAACAACGATTTCTTTAACCACTAATTTTTTTTAGGATTTGAGACGTAAATCTTCTTTAATTAGATTTTTTAATATGTATTAGGATTTGTCCTATAAAATTGTTGATCAAATATTTTTTTGATAAAAAAAAACCTTTTATAAAACCCTTACTTGTCGAACAAATAAACTTTACAATACAAGTTTTTTTATTAATCTTTGATAAGTACAAGATAATATTTGTTCAAAGATAACTCTTAATCATTTGACATTGAACGTTCGTACCCCTGAAACTCATAGTGCTCAAACCAGGGAAATCAAATAATTACAACAATTTCTTTGTTATCGAGGACGCTCGGTTCGTGCTTCACAGGACAAATTTGATTTTATCAAATAAGGTTCCTTGCAAAATAAGTTTTTTCATCATCAATGCATATCCTCAAAAATAAAAATCTCACTAAATTGTATTGAATTTGTCCTTGTTAAATAAAAATTCTTCTGAAATAAGAAAATTTTGTGACAGGCTACTCTAAAGGTTTTGGGGTTTTAAATCAATAACAATTCTATGAAATAAATTTTATAATTGTGAGACAGTCCACGTGTGTTGAATTGAATGGTATGTCATTTCCTTTAAACAAAATTTTAATTTTAAGAATTAAATATATAACAAATAATATTATGATGACTCTCTTTTATTTAAAATTGAATTCGAAATAATCAAAGTCCAATATAATTCGTCGAGAGGTTTAAACGGAAAAACAAGCAACGAGGTAATAGTTTGAATATCTAACCGTCCAAAGTGGAATTTTAAAGGAAAAAATTCCTTTATATTCCAAAGGAACAATGATTTTCTCCATGATTATTTGTTTTCATTTTATTCATAGTTCATACCTCTTTCGGAAAGTGGGAAAACTCAAGTCGTCTGGTTTTCCCTTATTTTTATAAAATTGAATACATGATACTATAGTACTTAAAAATATTTAATTAATTTATTTAAAAAATAATAGATAATAAATATTAAATAAAATATATATAAAATTTAAACAGACTAGTTTTATTCATTTATAAATACAAAAAAACTTGGAAAATTTAAAATTGATATTTTAAATGAGGCAGAGTTAGACAATTATGTATGATATTGATAGAATCCGATCTCATTTCGTTAAAGTTTGTCTTAACACGAACCCATTGAATGTATTTAGTGGTAAAAGAGAATATTGTTCTTCCTAGAAGATCTGAATTCTCCTTAAGGATTGAGTGTGTAACTCTGTATGCGTTGTAAGTGGTTAAGAAAGAAAGATTTTCAACAAACATTATCTAATAATCACCCCGTACTATTAAAAAAAGAAGTTAATATTCACTCCCACTCTTTATCTATCCATGTTTAAATTTAATGTCTCTAATCTCTAATTAAGTTTGGTATTTGGAGTGCTACTATTTCAACTATACTAATTAAGCAATCGACACTACCCAAGAAGAAAAGAAAAACAAAGAAATAGACACTCTATGTTTGTAATTGCTTAGGTCTTTTCATGCCTCTCTTGATTCCTACAATCATCAGTTGAGGTAAGAAATTAATCATTTTTTATTTTGTGGCAGACAAAATTAGGGTTTCCACCCCCACAACAATCCCAACACCTAACTCCCTTTGTTTTAACTATGTGTTAACAAATTATACATGTAATAATTAGTGGAGGGTCGGAATTCCATGAGTGGAATCTTGACCCGATTCTTTTGAGTGTCACAATAAATTTTTGCAACTTGGTATTGAGCACCATTTTGTTCTTGTTTGAAGTTAATTATGATGAAGATTTCTTTGTTGTTAAGTTTTCAATATAA